TTCCCTTCGGGAACGGATACGATAATTTACTTATTTTTTATTTTTTGAACCAGCTCTGCATCTCGGTATAGAGCACTCTCTTTGACCGCCTGGAACCTCTCTGTTTTATGATACTGAGCTAGTACGAAAGGTAAAATAGAAGAAAAACACATGAGATGGAGTTATGCAGCAACTATCCATGACTGTAACAAGATGATAAACGGTCAAAGAGTGCGATAATATGGCACAAAACAGACAATCTACTGAGACATTCAGCGGCCCAAGACCGAGCTCTAACACATCTTCGGTGCCCAAACCAACAGCCTTCCAACTTGGAAGGTTTGTGGCACGTAAGAGGGAAAGGAAAACGTTCCCAAGCTAAGTCCCACGGCAAACAAGAATGCTAAATTGTACCGGACAATAACGAGACCAGTTCATAACATGACAATGTGGTCCAACTACTAAAATTCGAAGCAGCAAAGCAACGCAAGACTCAATTTGGTTGGGTCAGCAATATCAGGGATAAAGGAAGGAAAGTTTCGAGAAAACAAATTGTACAAAACTGGATGCCAATATCTAATGGCACTTCTGGTGTATGACACTTTGTGGACAAGTTGACTGCAATAACAAGCAGTTTCACAAGACATACGTTTTGCCGTATTCTTCGTGATGGTGTGCAAAATTTAACTAACTTAGTTTTTTTAATCTCCTTATGTTGTCTGAGGATTGGGTTTTGCCATGAAACTCTGAGTTAAAACAAAAACACCCCAATTTACTTCCTTTTGTGTACCTCTTGCGTACTAAGTTCTGCCCATTCCGGGCATTTGAGCACTATTGCAGGTTTAGGCGCACAGCCTCTGTGTAACTCTGATACTGATCGGGTGAGAAAAGTAACATATAAGGAAAACACATGGACACCTGAAATCACACGTTCTGACTGCTTATTATCTTGCTACGTTGGTGGATATTCGCTTCGTAATCCATCCACATGTTTTTTTTGTCGCCAATTTTATAAATTAAAATGGCTGGTATTACACTCTCTGGAAGCAGGCAAGTGTCTCCAGCACAGTGTGAACATTCAGCTGTCAAAGACTTAATGATGAGGTATTACATTACTCTGGCTGGGTTCCTCCCGAGTTGTGTCACTTGCACTTGAATCTCTACTGGGAGTACGTACAGTGCATATTAGTTACGATTGGGGTCGTGTAAAAAATATACAGTAAAACTTGTGACTACAGGACCACCTCTTAGTTCCAGCAAAACTTTTTTGCATCTTTCTTACCTATACAGCTCTATCTTCTTTTTTTTCATTGTTTTTGGTGAGTGTTTTTGGCCGTGACGCCGAGACCTCAGGTCGGCAGAGTCATCAATGCCCCACCATCACTGTTGCGTCTCCGTGCAGTGCCTGCTCATTAGTTGTCATGTGTGTCCTAGTCTCTGTACAATTGTCTCTCCTTATTCTTTTCGAGCTGGTTATGTGAACATAGTAAGAAAAGAAAGAGAAGAAAGCGGTCTTTAGTAGCACGTAGTCTATGATTATGGTCGCACACGTCTTTCTTCTCTTTATCAGACTCCTCCTGACTTTTCTTTCATTCTCCTGGGTAAGTAACATCAACCAGTGCATGCCGCAGTATGTGGTGTAATGTGTTTGCGGCCAAAAAATTACAAAGGACCAAAAAGTAAGGAAACATCCGTCAGGCGAAATGGCACGTCATTGTACATTTGAGACCAGCAGGAAGAAGATGACGACGTCCACTAATTTAGTATCTGTGCACACGAATGTGCTGTGCGTGTGACATTGTGTGTCAGCTATGACATCAAGCCCTGTGGTTCCATGCCTAGCATGTACGTCAGAACCATCCTGCAAAGTTTGAATGATGTAGGCTGAACGATCGCGCCGCCAATCATGCACTTTGAAATTCTCTTCATAGTATACCTTCCACCATTGAAATTTCGAATTTCTTGCTGAGAGGGGAGGGGTAGCTTGCAACCTCGAAATGGATTGTTTCAGGCCTTTTTTTTTACTGAATACCACAGTACCATCAGATGCTGCACATCGGGGGCGGTGGCATATTGGATGGAAGTGGGGGCGGAGCAAAAGTAACTCCTCCGAAAAAGGTCTCGGAATCATCGTTACTCCTGTGCGCCGATATATAGGAGAAAAGAAACATGCGCATCCAAGAGGGAAGCACCGGCTTTGCAAACGATAATGGGGAGAATTTGAGATTGAAATAGGACATAACAATAGTAAAAGTAGTGCACCGTAGGAAGATGGAGAGAAGTGATAATCGCATATTAAGGCTGAGCGAAGGGGATCAAAGAGGGGTAGAAGGGAGCTGGAGTGCGGTCAGTATAATTAGGCTGTAGTGTTGACTGCGATGGAGAGATCCTAGCCTGTCTGTGGCCCACTCCCACTTGCTACGCCGCAAGTGGTCGTTGACATTTTTTCTTGAACGTGTGCATACCTCTGCGAGAAGGGGGAGACTGCAGAAGGGTAGGTGGGAGCTTATTCCACGTTGCGATGACGAAGTGGGGAAATGAGCCGAGTGTGTTGTTCCGTGACTGAGGAGGAAGAATACTGGTGAGTTGTGATGGATGATGTATTGCAGATCTGGTTGTCTCACGAGTAGACATGCGGCATTGCGGTGCGGCTGCTGATGGTGGCAGAATGGCTATCACCATTTCCGGACCGTCCACAAAGTGCAGCTTGTACAGAAAGCAGAGCCCTGCTACAGTACGGCGAATGTCGAGGCTCGGGAGGTATGATCCATCTCCAATTATGTGCAGGGCACGGCGCTGGATGGCAGTGAGGAGGGCCAAGGTGGTAGGGGCTGCACTCATCCACACCAGCATGCCATACTCTAACACAGGGCGGACAAAGCCACGTACACAATTGCCCGGTACTTTGGGTCTAGCACAGCCGATGCCACACGGAGGAAGCAGGGCCGCTGGGCTCAGCGTACTGCAAGCTGTCGGATATGGCTGCGGAATGCCAGCTGCCTGTCGAAGGTGACGCCAAGAAGCTTGAGCTCCTCTACTTCTGGCACGACTGCTCCTTGGAAGCGTATTGCGTTCGGGGGGTTGGCGAGCGGTGGTGGCTAATGGTCAATGCTTGCGACTTTGTGGGCTCGAACTTGATCCTCCACCTGCTTCCCCATGCTGTCAGTGAGTGTACTGCCTGCTGGAGGATTGCTGTCTTTTCTGGCTGTCTGAGTCGGGTGGTGATGCACTTGTAGAGAGTTGTGTCGTCGGCGTATACAGCCAGCTTCGCCCCATCAGGCAGGTGGTCTTCTGTGTCGTTGACGTACAGAAGGAAGAGGGTGGGGCCAAGGATGCTGCACTGCGGCACGAAAGATTGGATTCGGTGGGTCGGTGAAGACTGACCGCCTATGACGACACGGATGTGGCGGTCTGTCAGGTAACTCCGGAGCCAGGCAAGGAGGGGGCCACTTATGCCACACCGCTCAGCCTTGTGGAGGACGCCGTCGAGCGAGACTTTGGCGAAGGCCCCCGGCAATATCTACTGCGAGTACCCTGACGAGGCCTCCACCGGCAGCTGCAAGGCACCACTCATGCTGAAGAGCAATCAGCAGATCAGAGGTTCCCAGTCCAGTGCGAAAGCCAAACTGCCTGTGAAGAAGGCATGCTGTGAAGTGAAACTCTGTTGAAGCAGTGGCAGGGATCTGCCCTGCCAACTGCCACAACAAAAAATGATTCGATCTGAGAAAGCGTGAGACCGCGAACATCGGTTGAATATTGAGTATTTCAAGCCTTTTCCCAACAAAGACGGAGTTCTTTTTGGAGATGGACTTCGCGGCAAAGGACATGGTTTCCGACTTCTGGCGTCTGATGAAGCCATGGGTCATTTGTCCGGTCAGGTCAGCAGCCTAACCGTCGATAATCTTGTGTTTGGATCCCGTTCTGCTCAATGTGGTAGATCACAAACAATTTGACTTCGCACAAATTGGCCCATGGGTAATGTCTTCTTCTCCAAGAAACAGGCAAGCTTGTGGAAGTATTCTGAGTAGTGGAGCAAAAGGCGAGGGCTTGTTTCGCATTGGTACGTTCAACGTCTGTGGACTTACTTCAAATTTCAAAAAAATCAACTTATTTCAGACCTCAATAAATACAGAGTTGGACTCTGCTGTCTTCAGGAGACTAAAATCTCCGAAGGCTACGATGGAAATATTGACAACTACCGTCTACTGTGTCTCTCGTCGTCGTGTCGACATTATGGACTCGGATTCGTAGTGGAAAAACAGTTACTGCACCGAATATATAGATACCGGCAGGTGTCGGACCGTATCGCCGTGCTATAGTTATGGCTCTCCGGGAGAACGCTGTGCTCATTTGTAAATGTCTACGCCCCGACGTCAACACGCGTTGCAGCAGACCATTCATGCCTAGGCGAGTTCTACAACAGCTTGCTGGAAACAATTCAAAAACTAAGGTCTTCATCGCTGCTGTTCCTGATGGGAGACTTCAACGCAAAACTTGGGCGACGACCACCCAGTGACTGCCACTCCATATCCTATGCTGGTTCACACTCAAGGGGCCATCGCAACTACAGCGGCCAGACTTTGGCTGATTTCGCGTCCAGCAATTACCTATTTGCCTGTAACACGGCGTTTCAGCACCGGGCAGAACATATCACAACATGGACAGGCTGGCGCCACAACCCTAGTGGAGGTCCACCTTCACCCATTTACAACCATATAGATTATATCCTTTGCCGTCACAGTGAAAGGTTTGTGGTGACGGATGCCAGATCATACGCCGGGACAAGCTTAGAAAGCGATCACCGTCTTGTGCTGGCAAACCTCAACCTGACAAAGTTGTACAAGAAGCTCAAGAGGCCGCCAGTAGCCATATCCACCAACGCAAAATTCAATATATCGGAATTTAGTGACCCGACCAAGAAAGCAAAGTACAGAGAGGCTATTAACGAACATCTATAGGACCTCGGCAGAGAGCAGGAAGGTGTCAATGCGGAGCAACATCTGCAGTATATTGTGAACGCTATGAGTGAGGCAGCAAACACATCGGTGGGCCGCGTCCCTACAACAAACAAGACGCATAGAAATGGCTTCAGCGGGGAAATTGAAAAGCTAGCAGCAGAGAAACACAAACTGCGTCTCAACATTACGGTGTGCAGAGATGGAACGAAGGTAAAAGAAATGAAAACACGACGCAACAGGCTGGCACACCAAATTCGCCGGGAATGCCTCAAGTTAGCATCGACTCGACTGGTCGAACGTGTAGCTGAAATAGACCAAATGAAAGACGACGCGAAAATGTTCAAAGCAACACGACTACTGCGCCGACAGCAGCAGTCACCAGTTGTGGTTGAAGACTCTGATGGCAAACTCATTGCACAACCTAGTGAATCAGTCGAAGCATTAAGGCAACACTTCCGTGCTATATTCTGTAATCCTGCTCTCGAGTCATCTAGGCTCTTACGGACGGAGGAAGACCTTAAAAACCCTACAAAGCAGACAGATGTACATGGCGCAGCTAAGCGCTCGAACATTGCCACTACCTTCAACAATTATGCCAAAGACAAATCACTCAAGCTAGGCGATGGGCTACTGATCCCGATACCAAAGCCGGGAAAGAAAAGAGGTCCTCCTGGAAATGTAAGGCCAGTTACCCTGTTGAACACCCTGCGTAAACTTCTTTCATTGGTCATCCTGATGCGGATCAAGCCAGCTATCAACGGGTACTTGTCACTGAACCAGAGCGGGTTCCGGTCAGGGAGAAGTACTGGAGACGTGGTATATAGCTATCGGTGGTTATCAGCAAGATGCCAACGGGTTGCGTCGGAGATATCAATCTTAGGCATTGATATGTCAAAGGCATTTGACACTATATCAAGGGTCAGGCTGATCGATATACTGTCATCAGTCATTGATCATGATGAGCTGCACATCATCCAGTGCCTTCTGACAGACAATAAAAGTAAAGCTGAATAACATTCTCAGCCAACCATTAGTCACACATATTTGGAACCCCACAAGGTGATTCTCTATCGCCAGTCCTGTTTACTGTCTACCTCGAGGCTGCATTGAGGTTGATTCGAGAGTGACTCTCACCGCGACCAGCATTGAATATTCAGCTTCAATTGCACAATGAAACAGCTTATGCGGATGACGTAGACTTCATCAGCACCAGCCTACGATATTTGCATGACAATCAACCCATGCCATCATCCTCGTTAGCGGAATACAACTTAAAAATGAATGAAGCCAAAACCGAATATACTACTTGGTCCGTTTCATCGCAATTGTCGCTTATCTTCCACTCACCTTTTGACAGGTAAAACCCAGTCCGATCTCGATATCTAACTCACATTCGTTTGGGAGGTTGTGATGGCAAGATGAAAGGAGACCAGAAAGAAAAAAAACCATCGCGACTAGCGCCAGTGGCATCGAGATTCGTACAATTTTGATGGGAAAGTGGGAAACGTTTCGCTGCAGGGAATGCACTTCAGTGAATGAACACACTCATTGCAGCGAAAATCCAAGCGCAGCTCAAAGACCGGAACTGTAGCAGGGGAAATCGACATCCTGACCTGGAGAGCGTGACAGTCACGGCCAGGCCAGCCAGCTCAGTCGCCACGTTTGAACTGCAATGATCTGGCATTCTTTGCAAGCCTGCAAACTGATGGCGAGATGGTGGCAAAGAAGACATTGTCCGACCTGGCAGCGGCAGTACAAGAGTCGTGGTCAGCGTATCCAGCAGAGCGTATGACAGCTGTCTGGAGAGGAATTTGTGCCTGATTCAAAAACATTGTTGAACACACAGTACTGTAGTGACAGACGGGTCACGCTGCCCACGATCCTCTAAGTGCCAAAGTGACAGCCACGACTGTACCTTTCCCATCGCTGCCATACGCCAAGCGGAGAAAGCAAGAGATACTCTACGCCAGAAGCTATACACACCAGCAAATGTCAGCTCAAGTGGCAACAGCTCGAGTGATACAGAGCCAGAGTCGGATAAACTAAAGCGTGAGTGCAAGAACGCGCTCCGTCGCGGTTTTCTTTTGTACATTTTTGTAACCTTGCTTCCTTTCTTCGACTTGCCTCATCAGATTCCATCGCTGAATTTATTTCTTGTGGCGGACAGGAATCCTGTATCATGCTTCTTCCCTATACGTATTGGAAATTTTACAGAGCGGTAAAAAACTCCTGTTCTTAGTTGCGATAGATAAGCGACAATTGCGATGAAACGGACCAAGTACAATGAAAAGAGAAAAGGACAGAGTAGACGAGCGATGGCGGAACATGGTCAAACTAGGATCGATGCTTGGAGTTATTATTATTATTATTATGCTCTATTCGCGTTATAAAGCTCACATATAGCCTTCGCTTAAGCCGCAAGAAGGAGCAAGTGAGCGCGAGGAAGCGCAATGCACACAGAGCGTCAAAACAAAACAAAAAAAACAAAAAACAAAAAACAGAAAAAAAGCTGCAAGAAGGAGCAAGTGAATGCGAGGAAGCACAGTGCACATCAAGCATCACAATCACAAAAAAGACAAGATGGAAATGCAAAGTTATGTCCATTGTTGCATTAGCGGCTACATACAACCTTCACCAGGTCTTGCCACTGAGGGCGATCCTGGGCGAGCTGCTGCAGCCTGTTGCAGTCATCTCCATTATCTATATATAAAGGTATAAATTATGTCCATTGTTTCATTAGCAGCTACATACAGCCTTCACCAGTTCTCGCCACTGTCGACGGTCTTGGGCAAGCTGCTGCAGCATGTTCAAGTCATCGCCAGTCTCTAGGGCGGTATTATTTTTCAGCTTTTTGAGATCATTATTGAGCGTTCGCGGGAGCGTTGTTCTTGGGCGTCCCCTAAAGCTGGGGCCGTTACCCCCAAAGAAGTAAGCTCCCATGGCACGTCTGGCTGGGGCTGCCTCTTCCAAACGCAGCACATGACCAAACAGCCTCCATCTAGCATCTCTGATGATTTGGCTCACGGGGCGAGATTCTGTGCGTTTATACAGGGAAGTGTTCTTTATCATGAGCGGGTATTTAATGCCTATCACTGTTCGCAGCTGCTGCCTGTGGAACGAGTCCAATTTCCGCTCCTGTGTCCCCGTGAGACTCCACGTGCCACAGTTATAAAGCAGGATTGGTAGAATGAAGCTATTATAGAGGCGCACTCGTTGAGACTCTCTGATGTGTTGCCCTCTCAACCATATCACCCACATCCGGTGAAGTGCGCTTGTAGCCAACCGCTTTCGTCTGCCTATGTCCTCACCCACTCCAAGCATCGAGCCCAGCTTTATTGTGTGTCGCCACTGTTCCTCTATTCGATCCTTTTGTCTACTTATCATGGTGTGTTCGTCTTCCCCTCATTCATCTTCAAGTTCCACTCTGCTAACGAAGAGGATATTGTAGGAAGGCAATCTTTTAGATACTTTTGGTCGGTACTGATGAAGTCCACATCATCTGCATATTCCGACTCTCCGGGCAGAAGCAGCTGGACGTCTCGGTCTGGTCGCGGCGGTAGACGGTTTCGTACCTCTCTTAACGCAGCTTCCAGGTATATCGTAAACAATACCGGCGACAGAGAATCTCCCTGTGGAGTCCCATTGTATGTTTCAAGTGGCTGGCTCAGGATGTTGTTTAGCCGTACTTTAATGGTGGTATCCGTAAGTAAGCACTGAATAAGATGTAATTCGTCCCGGTTCACAATAGTCTCCAGCACGTTCATGAGCTTTGGTCTTGAAATAGTGTCAAAGGCTCTCGACATATCAATTCCCAAAATGGCGATATCTTCCTTTACTCTTTGGCATCTTGCTGCCAACCATCTGTAGGAGTACACAGCATCCGCTGTACTTCTCCCGCTGCGAAATCCGCTCTGGCAGGGCGAGAGGTATTGATCAACTGCCGGCTTAATACGCGTCAAAACGATTAGAGACAGTAGCTTGCGTAGTGTATTTAGAAGGGTAACTGGCCGCAAATTTGCAGGAGGACCTCTCTTCTTGCCCGGTTTCGGCAACGGGACCAATATACCATCACCAAGCTGGATGCGTTGATCTTTAGCATAATTATTGAATAATGTGGCTATGTTACCATGCAGTGATTGCGTCCCATACTTCAGGAGCTCAGCCGGGATTCCATCGGGGCCGGATGCTCTGCCGTTATTTAAACGTTTTGCAGCCTTGGACACCTCCTCAGTCGTTATGGATCGGTTCAGTGGCATTTCACTTCTCTCCAACATAGTTGTTGCTAGTGCCTGGTCGCAGAATATAGTTCTGAAGTGTTCCTTGACCACTTCCACCGATTCCGCCGGTTGAGATATAATTTTGCCTTCAGCATCCTCAACGATAACCGGTGATTGTTCCTGACGACGGAGTAGCTGGGTTGCTTTGAACATCTTTGCGTCATTCTTTATTCTTCCTATTTCTCCCACTCGTTCATCAAGCCTGCTCGATGCCATCTTGAGGCATTCCCGCCAAATCTGGTGTGAAATGCGATTGCGTTCTTGCTTCATCTCAGAAATCTTCCCAGCGTCTTTGCAGTTAGTGAGATCCAAACGTAACTTGCGTTTTTTCTCGGCTAGCTGTTCAATGGCATTGTTATAGCCATTTGTATGTACTTTTCTTCTTTTTGGTACTATGCCAATGGATGATGCAGCTGACTCCTTCATAATGCCGGTGATCTTCCGGGCATGCTCCTCAACACCCATGTTGTCCATCTCATGGCATGTCAATTCCAGACCCCGCTCGATTGCCGCTTGGTATGCCTCCCTCTTGCTCCAGTCACTGAATTCAGATACACTGAATTTGTCATTGGTCTCCCTTGATATGCATGGCGCATTCAATTTCTTGTAAAGATTGGTCATGTTGACTTTAGCGAGGACAAGGCGGTGGTCACTCTCCATCTTTGTCCCCGCATATGACCTCGCATCTTCCACCACAGAACGCTCACTATTCCGACAGAATATATAATCGATCTGGTTGTATATGGGTATTGCTGAACCACCGTCTGGGTTGTGACGCCATCCTGTCCATGTTGTGATATGTGCCGCACGGTGTTGGAATGCAGTGTTGCAAGCAAACAGGTGGTTGTCCGACGCAAAGTCAGTCAGAACCTGTCCACTGTAATTGCGGCGGCCTCTTGAGTGTGCTCCGCAGCACGACAAATCATGTCTCCCCGTAGCTGTAACGGAACGTTTTCCAACTTTTGCATTGAAATCACCTATCACGAAAAGCATGGCTGATGATCGAAGCTTCTGAATTGTCTCCAATAAACTGTTGTAGAATTCATCCAGACAGGCAGGGTCCTCCGCAACGCGTCCAGATGTTGGTGCATAAACGTTGATAAACGAGCACAGAGTTCTATCGGACAGCCATAGCTGCAGCACAGCGATCCGGTCAGAGATACTCCAGTATCTGTGAATTCGGGGCAGTAAACTTATTTTTACGGCGAATCCAAGTCCATAGTGTCGAGAGGTCGACGAAAGACACAGGAGTTGATAATTATCAATAATTTCATCGAAGCCCTGAGAGATTTTCGTCTCTTGCAGGCAGCAGAGTTCAGCTCCATATCTTGTTAGGTCACAAATAAGTTGATTTTTTTCAAATTTGAATTTAGTCCACGAACATTGAAAGTTCCGACGTGAAACAAGCTACTCTTGTTTCTACGACTGCTACTCAGAATACTGCGGGTCCTCAAACCCACCCGCTCATTAGCGAAAGACATAGGCCATAGGGTTCAAGAACAGAACCACCATGGCTGAGAGGCGTCACTCTCTCATCCAAACAATGCTTGGAGTGGAGGAAGATATCAGTCGGAGAAAACGTCTAGCAACATGTGCCTTACATCAGCTGTGGGTGATATGGCTAAGAGGTAACCATGCCCGTGAACCCCTTCGGATTAGGTTATACGGCAGCTTTATTCTCCCAATACTTCTTTATAACTGCGGCACATGGAGCCTGACAGAGACTCAAGAGAAAAA